CGTGTGTGTTTCTGAGCTAATTCACGTTCTGATTAGTTACAGATTTCATCTAAATCAGACTTTATAGACAATTTATGTTAGGATATGGTAGCTCCACATTTTATGAAGTTCACCTGCCTGTTTTTACTCTTCTGATGGACTCCTATTTAAGTAATTTGGAAGTTAAGTGAGAACTCAAGGACTTCCTGAAGTGGTGCTTGTGTTGCTTTGCTCAGTGAATTCTAGCACGAGCTGCTGTGACACCAGAGATTTTGTGCACTGGTGACTTCAGCCCCTGCAGCTTCATTAGCTTTGAAAAACAGAACGTTGAGAGCTGCTGTCTCCTGTGCCAGAACCTGCTCTTGGCTGCCTGCCTGCTGTTGCTCCCCCTTCTTGCACCAGACCAGGGTTGTGATCACTGGAGGGTCAGGCAGGCAGCAGTAGCTGGCCCTAGGTGAAATTACTCAGAATAGCAAGTGAAAATGCAGGTGAATTGAGTTGTGGATTAAATGTTGAATCCTTCATTTCCCAAAGTCTTTGAAGTTTATTTCAGTAAGCACAATCACAGTAAATGCTTAATGCTCTCTTAGTGCTGAAGCCACAGAGTGGCTGAGATTTACTAAGATTAGCAGTAAGAGATTAAAGTAGCTGATGCTAAATATGCTTTGCCTGTGTCTTCAGAAGTGCTCCAGTGTACCTGCAGAACTGCATGGTGTTTGGCAGATGAGGGTAAATGGCTTAGGGGGCATGTTTCTTCCTGCATATTTAGATGTAGGAGACTACTCAGAACATGAGCTGCTGTCTTGTCCTTCTGTTCAATTTTAATTTAGCATTTGGCAGCAGTGGGTCAGGTTTGTTTGCATGTACTGAAAGTAAAGGTTAAAAAGAAAAACATGCAGTAAATGGTAGTGCAATATTCTGCTCTCTAAAGTTCTGCTTTTGCTCTTGTAGATTGATATTGAAGATGTGATAGCAATAAATCCTGAGTTATTAGAACTACCTGCTGCTGATCTGAAAGAGAACTTTCCTTTCCAAGAGAATGTAAGTGTACAGGTAAGTGTTTTAAAGGGATTTAGTCTTTCCTAAGGTACTAATGTGTCAACAGCATAGGTCTTGTTATAAATAATATCCAGTCTTAAAGTTTGAGATCTCTAGCTTGTCTTTTCTATCTCTTAGTTAGACTTTCATCAGAAATTCTTGTATCAATGTTGTATTGCAGTGCTGTGCTAGGGATTTTCAGCTTACTCTGATAACTTACAGCATTCATTGTTTTCTTCAGAAACAGAAGCGTAGATCAACCCTTTCAAAAATCCCTGGTCCACGGGAAGGTGAGGAAATACTCTTTTCTGTGCTATACCCCTGTAAAACAGTGGTGTGTTTTCATTGTAGCCCTAATAATCTTCTTCAGTAGTATCATAAGGCTGCTCGTTCAGACAATGCTAACAAAGAGCATAATGTTTTATACTCACATTTTGGACTCCAGAGTGCAGAAACTTTGCTAACAGATTGCTGTCCTGTTCCTGTGAGTTGGGGCTTGTTGATGTGTTGCTCTTTTCTGCAGTATTGCTGTAATTGTTCCTTGATGCTGCTTTTAAATGTCACTAGGCAGTTCCTGTGGCAGTGAGTATAGGAGTTTTCTATGGAGCTTTTGCAAATGCCATGAACAACAAAAGGTAAATGGCACTTATTAAAAGTGTCAAAATGAGAGTGGAAAGGGCAAGAAAGAAATAGCAGTGACAAATGGATGTATCCTCTTCAAACAGTCCCCCTAGATAATAACTAGATCTTTATCCTTGGAGATGTTTTGGACCAGGCAGCCAAAATGCCAGCTGGTGTGCTGTAGCTCAGTGATTGTATGTCAGTGCAATGTTTTTGAGCAAAGCCAGAAAAGGAGATAGAGATGTCAGAGTGTTAGATTGCTAAAAGGCTTTCCTTGAGGTGTCAGGAATTGAACTCTCATGTTTTCTGCCTTTTTAGCTTATTAGTTGATTCTTTTAGCTGTTTGAATTGCAAGTGGCGGCATTACAGTTTATTTGCAATAAACTTGTGTGATGCTGAGGTTGAATGGTTGATAATTTGATGATTCCCTTCAAGGGCATAGTCAGCTGGAACTTGTACTTTCCCATGCAATTGAGCTATAAACAAAACAGCTGGGCTTGTCTGGCCTTGTTTGTGTGTGATGCAAGAGAGGGAAGCCAGCACCAGAAGACAACAGTACAAATCCCCTTGTATCAGAGAGGCAGGAGTAGTCCAAGAAGCTTAGTATGTCAAAAGTTGTTCTGTGCTAGAACATCCTGATCTTCCTCAAATCCAGAGAGTTTTGTGAAACCCATAAATTTTGTGAACTGGAAAGCAGAATGGTGTGATGGTCATGACTGTCTCTAGACAGGTCAGTTAATGAAGTAGAGCAGCCAGCTGGAGAAAGATGTGTGTTAATTGAGCCACTGATAGATGGAAAAATGTCCTCACAGAGGTCATGGCTTTCCTGAAGTATAGAATCTAATTTCAAATCTGAAATATCTGTTGCCTTTCCTACAGGCTCACTCTTGTCCCTGAAGACCTGCTCAGAGTACAAGAGAGAAGCAATGTTTTCAGTATTCCTCAAATAGTGTTATCTATTGTTATAACTAGCTAAACCCCATGAGTGTCCATCTGGTTGCAAGCTGCGCTGTGCCAATTAGAAAGCTAACACCAGTTACACGTTTTGGTTCTTGGTCCAAACAAACTAAACAAGATCCAGAAGGTGTCTGTTTCCATCTCATTCGGGGAAGTGAGAGAAGCAGAAGCAGTGCTTTCAGGATGAATTAATAAACAGATAGTGCCTTAGTCCTCTCAATCAGTAAGAATTTTGGAGGATACTGCATATCGCCTCATATAAGAATCACCTGAACCAAACCTATTTGACTGCAGCAATTCTCCAGTCAATATGCCTGCCCAGGAGTGCTAGTATTACAGAAAATGTGCTGCTGAGTTTGTGATGAGATCAGGTCTGGGCATGTGTGACAAATGGAATAAAATGCCACCTCTGAGTGTAATGAAACTGATGCCTTTTGTTCCTAAAGTTGCAGCAGCGACACCTAATGTCTCTACACCTGAGCAGAGAACTCCAGGTAAAGAGTTAATATAGTGGCACTGAATTTTGTGGGTATGATTCTTGGGAATTTGATCCAGAATTGAAATTAAACCTTGGTCTGAAATAGATCTGGTATCCTTTGAAATCATAGTGATTAATTCTGGATCAATTCTTGTTACTGATAGAGGTAAAGGTAGCTCTAGTTTGCATATCACACTTCTGTTTATTCATATCAGGTTTGCTGTCTTTACAAATCTATTGCGGTGTTGCTCCAAACCCTCCCTAGGAAGCTTCGTGGTGATGGACTTGCTCTCTGAAAGAAATAACCTTTGCATGTAACAATGGAGCCTCCCTATAAAAGGACCTTGTCCAAAGATTTGCTGTTGTGATTATACAGTCTTTTAGCTGCATTTATCAAGCTCCCCCTCCACTGTGCACCATGCACTCTGTCTGAGTGTGGGCGCTGGGATGGTGAGCACGATGCTGCCCGTGTCTGCTGCCAGGTTGCAGTACTACTGTCACCATCAAACAGCTAATTCACACAGCCCTGCAAGTGTGAAGCTTCAGATTTCACAAACTTGTAACTTTCTCCTTCCTAGGTATTATGGTTCTGGAGCTTCCATGTTAGTGAATCCTTAATGGTATCTGAAAGAAATTCAATGGAACTGCAAATCTGGAATGAACTGCTTGCTTTCTTGTAGTGGTGTATTTCACGATCACTTTTCAACCCCCACACATTTTCACTTGTGAACTTTGCTAATGCATAAGAGATCTGGAGAGTGTCCTTTTAGCACATCTTGTTCCCTTCCGTTCTGCACTTTGTGAGCATTTGAATACTGACAAATGTCTGAGTGTCTGAGGCATGATACTGACCTTGAATTTGTGTTTCCAAAGCTGCGCGTGGCCGTTCCAGGATGTCTGTTATTGCAGAATCACAGTGCAGCCTCCAGGAAAATGAGATGGGGGTAGATCCCTGCACTTCTACACAAACCAGAAACAATTCATCTGTTCCTGGTGAGTGGAGAAAGAACCCAGTGAATTCTTACCAAGGGGCAACATGGGTTGTATGCATTTAAATAAGTAAACTGCGAATCCCAAGGGAATGAGCAACTTCTACTCCTTTATATAAAGCAAGAGAAGCTTGAGGTCTATCAGAATGTAAATAGTCAGGGCTCCTACCTTGAGGGACTTTATTAAGCACATAGCTACAGTTGTGGATGTGAGATCTGCTTAACAGCACAAAGTGGTACTCGCAGCACCAGAGTGGGAAAGGAAGTGCCTTGATATTGCTGACAACATGCTCTGTAACTATACTGGTTGTAGTTTTACCTACATCGGTTGATTAAAGCAAGAACTTGAGCCTCCTTAAATTACTAAATTGTAGTTATTTGTCTTTACCAGACCTATGCAATGAATAGCTGAGGGCATGCCTTGTTATATTAAGTTCTGCTTACAAGACATTGAAATAAGAGACTTGTTACTGAGTTCTTGTGTAGTTAGTGTGGCCTTGATTTGCAGCTTTGAATAAAAGTTGGTGGTCAGCAAATGATTAAAAAAAAAACATTTGCACACTTGTCACAGGTTCTTAGCCAGTTCTCTCTCCTGATCCAGAACCAGAGTTGAGGAATGCCTATGATCTACAAGGCTTTACTGATTATAAAACTGGTCTTGATCTTAGGGATCTAATTACTGGGTTTGGTCTGGCTTCTTTCTGCAGCTGGAAGAACCAGGGCTAGCAAGATGAACTGTGTTCCAGAAGCCTCAGTAACAAATCTCAATGGAAATACAGAGGATCACCTGCTTCCTGGCAGAATCTCTTCAGTGAGCCCAGGTACCATGGAGCTGTGGGTGAGAACTGCTTCACCAGTCAGTGATGCATCACTATGTGATTGCTGCTCTGTATTATCCAATGCTAAAGCTTGAAAAAGGTGGCTTTGGTAGTAAAACTGAGTATCTCCAGTATTTTTTGTTACAGATGTGTAATTCTGTTACAGTGGTATCACCTTAGAAATGCTGCCTTTACTTTAGAGTGGCAGTGGGACTTCCTGAGCAGTTTGTGGTGGGTAGATCTGGTTGGGAAGAGGAAATACTTCATGATGAAAGCCATCCTTCTGAAGATGATTGTTTCCTGTACAAGCTAGTCTGGCAGCAACCTGGAGAAGTTTAAATACTTGTGTTGTGCTTAGAACCTAGTGTGGAGATTTAATTAAAGGAAATGCTTTTATCTAGTTCGGAGAAGATCCAACATTGTGAAAGAGATGGAGAAAATGAAAAACAAGAGGGAAGAGAAGAGAGCTCAAATCAGTGAAATCAGGACCAAGCGTGCACAGGTGGAGTACTCTACAATGCACCTCTACTGGGACATTGCTTCAGAACAGTGTACCACAATGTTCAAAACTAAACCATGTTTTGGACAGGCTCAGTTCATATGAAGCTGGATGGATTGATTATAGTTTTGGAAGTTCTTAATATTGAGAAATATTTCTAATTGCATACACCTGATGGTTTATCATGCTCTGGGGCTTTTTTGCTGTTACATGTTAATTACCTACACATCCATGTTTTTTCCATGCAGGAATTTGACAGCAGCTGTCCAAACTGGGAGTTTGCAAAGATGATCAAGGAATTCAGAGCAACTTTAGACTGCCAGCCAATAAGTATAACCGATCCAGTAAGTAAATACTGAAGCTGCAGCTTGTGGACAGACTATTTTGCACTAAAGATGCTAGTATGTGAGCAATTCAGTGCATCACTGTACCTTGGAAATCCTCTGAGCATATTGTGATCTTGAGGTACCTGGTGGTACATGTGAGGTTATTTACCTTCCCTTTTTAGGGCTAAGGTGCCTTGCACTGCTTTGTGTGTGTTATTAGTAGAGAGCTTGCACTTCAACAATTGTAATTATTTGCATGGTAACATCAGTACTTTTCAGACTTTGTAAACAGCAGAGCCTATTACATAACTTAGCTTGTTGTAGGTATAATTCAAAATGGATTATTGCCCTGGAAGTGTTATTGTATGTAAGTCGTACATATTAAGTAATTTTAAACTAGGTCAAAAAGTGGAGGCGCAAAAGTAGAGCCAAGAATTAAAACAAAACAACCCTATAAAACTAGGCTCAGTTTATCTTCAGCAATTACAGAGGTAGCATTGTTTAACAAGGCTTTTGCTAGACAAGGACTACTTGTTCTCAGGTGTCAGTCAGTGAAAAAGGGTAGTGCTTTGGTTAAAATGAAAAAGTAGCTGTTGATTACCTTAGAACACTGGGTGGTTTGTGTGCCAGCATCCTGTGGGGCTGACAACGAGCTGCTGGTGTAAGCATCACCACATGATAGATGAATTTGTCATCTGCTTTCTGCCTCACTCAGTGGGATACGCGCTTTCCCAAACTCACCTGATGTGTAACTGTGCTGGACAAATTGCTAAACTTACTGCATCAGTAAAATACTCCAGGTCAAAAAATACCCCTGGGGTAAACTAAGATAATAATAATTTGACTATAGTTGCAGTATTCAGATGGCAGTTTTTACTGGAAAGCTGGCCAAGGGCTGAACTTTCTACTAATTCTGATACAGGATATTTGGGGCACTTCCTATAGCATGGCAGCATTTCCACCTGATAGGCTGGAGCATGCTACGTAAAGCTGTTGTTTGTAGTGCTGCTTTTGCACTGAGCAGACTTTTAAGACTCGCATCCCTGTATGAGTCGGTTTGATCAGTAGTGGAGGCAATTCTGATTAGCATATAGAAAAGTAGATGTCAGGAGGCATCAGATCTTTCTCTCTATAATACTAAGTAGATATGGGTCTAACTGGGAAATAATTACTTGTTTTCTTTTAGATAGAAGAGCATAGGATTTGTGTCTGTGTGAGGAAGCGCCCTCTCAATAAGCAAGGTGAGCGTACTGACAAAGCAGCTGTGCCTTGGAGCAGTCTGGCAGTTCTTACTCCTCTTAAAACTGAGGGTCTTCTCTGTTCACAGAGCTGCAAAAAAAGGAATGCGATGTCATTACTGTTCCAAGCAAGTGTGTCCTGCTGGTGCACGAGCCGAAGCAGAAAGTAGACCTAACAAAATACCTTGACACCCAGACATTTAGATTTGACTTTTCATTTGATGAATCCTCTTCTAATGAAATGGTATACAGGTAACGCTTTCTTCTCACTGGGAATAACTTTGAAGCTTAAAGGATGGAGCTGTGGATTCATGGCATCTTAGCTTAAAGAAAGTGCAACCTGAAATAAGTATTAAAATCATTTTTGGAGGAATCCAAAGGACTGAAAAGTCTAAAGCTTATTTTTGGCATGGTCTTGCTAATTTCCAAAGGATTTGCTTTTATTTGCTCTTTTTTTCCTTTCTTTTTAGGAAAACTGATGCCGCAGGGTGTGAAATGTTTGTCTTAACTGTCTTTTACCTTCTCAATATCCAGGTTCACTGCTAGGCCTCTTGTGGAGACTATCTTTGAGGGTGGGAAGGCAACATGCTTTGCTTATGGCCAGACAGGCAGTGGCAAGACACATGTAAGTTCTTCTCCAAGGTCTCAAATTCTCTAGCTTTATCTGAAGCATTGTAAAGCTCCTTGATGATGATAATGAGTAGGATTGTGTAATGACTTTGGACCTTGGGGTGGTTTTTCTTTTGCCTTAAAGCTAATACTTTGTCATCTCTTAATCTTCTTTTTTGGAAGCTTTATGTATTACTGGGGTTCCTTTGAGGTTGTGAGGAAAATAATACTAAAATCCCCCCATAGCTGGCTTTTTAAAGACTTAGGATGTCTTAACATGTTAGTCACAGCTATCCCTTGCTATTGCTGCTGAACTCCAGTTTGCAAAGTGGGGCTGTTAGCCTACCTCTGAGGCAAAGGCTGTTTTCTATACTGTAAGAGTTTGGAAGCATTCCAAAGACTTTAGCAATTATAAAAAAAATAAGCTTCTTGTTGCACATAAACATTTGAGTGATTTGGTATTGTTGTGAAGTGGGCAAGTTAGTATGTTCCTTCCAGTCTACCAGTTGCAGCTTCAAGAGGCCTGAAGATTGTGTTTACTGCCTCAAAGATGATCTGCTCTGATTTAAACAACTTAGTTGTCTTTTTAACCTCCTTCTGGAAACTGTAGGGAAGGAAAGCGGGGAAACTCCTTCCTCACAGCATGATAGCAGAGTCCAAAATGCTGTCTTCTTCTGCAGGAAGCCTTTACCCCAGATCACAGTGATCTGGACTGAGCTAGGCTAGCCTGTCAGTTTGAGTAATCGCTTGCTGTCATTCCAGTGTTACAGCCAAGTTTTAGGCTAGGAACTCCTATCATTAGTGATATGTAGTGAGTTGTAGATCTCTTCCAGTAATCCAGAAGGAAATTTCGAAGTTTGTAGAAATTTGGACATAGGCTGCCCCCATTGCACTTGAATGGGCAAACATACTCATCTGAGAATCGTTACAGGGATACAAATGTGAGGGACTAAGATCATAGGCAGTGAAGTTCCTTTCCCTAGGGTGCAGTAGTGGTGCAAGGACAATGGCTGTAGCATGGGACTGGAGTGCTGCCTGTTAAATTCTGGTGAACTGACTGTGTCATGGGACTGCCCCATCCCTGCCAGCGTTCAAGGCCAAGTTGGATGGGGGCCTTGAGCAACCTGGTGTCTAGTGAGAAGGTGTCCCTGCCCATGGCAGGGGGTTGGAACCAGATGAGCTTTAATGTCCCTTCCAACCCAAGCCATTCTGTGATTGTATGACTGAGTCATGTGTTAAAAATTGAGGCATTTTTACAAAAATGGTAGAGTCAGGACAGCACCAACTGAAAAAGCTGGGATTAAAGGTACCTCGGTGAAAGGAGTTAGGCATTGTCTGCTCTGGAAGTTTGATGCAGTTTTGGTACCACGTGAGCTTTTGCAAGTAGCAATGGAAACTTTATTCAACCTATGCCCTAAGAAATGAGGCTTTATTTCCTCTGACAAGAGGCAACTGGGTTGCATTGTCAAGGCTATACATTTCTCTTTGGGGAAACAACTGCTTTGTGCTGCACTGCAGACCCTTGCGGGCATTCAGGTGTTGCTTTGCATAGTCCAGAGCTGCTTTGTGAACTGATAGGGAAGCAGCAAACTAATTTTATCCTGAATTGCACTGTTCTAATCATCTCATTGGCATCAAAACATATATATACATATAGTAACTTCCTAGTCTGTTCTTGGTAATACAGTCAGGTAGCTTGACTTGTTTGTACTACACATTACCCCTGGCCTTTTCTGTTTACAGACTATGGGCGGAGACTTCTCTGGGAGAACACAGAATGCCTCAAAGGGCATATATGCTTTTGTGTGTAAGTTGATTCTTTAGATATGAAAATCAAAGTAGTGCTTGTTTTTCTTAGATAAGATCTGGCTATGTATGGTTATTTAAAATGTTTTTTAGTAGAAGGTACATAAAGCATTTGTGTTGTCAGTAATAAGCAGTGGTTATTTGTGGCAGGAGGTATGACTTAGTTTCTTCAGTTTCCCAAAATATTGTCCATCCAGCCTGGAAGCTTCTAGATCCACACTTAACTCACCGGAAGATACTTGCTTTTGAGGCAAAGAGTTGACAGTTTTCTGTTCTGGCATTTGCTGGGCTGAACCATTTGATTTTGATTCTTCTGCTGTGCTTTTGTCTTAAACTCAGGATGGTGTTTGGCAATACCCAACTTGAATGCAACACAACCCTACCCATTTCTAATATAAAGCTTCTTATAGAGAAAGCATATAAATGTTCTGCTTCTTCCTGTAAGCATTAGATGCAAAAAACCTACCGTATACAAAATCATTCCAGAGAACAGATGCTTTAGAAGCCCCTCCTTGACCTAGAAACCACCATGACCTCCTCTACCTCCTGTTTAGAAAGGCGTATTGTGAAACTAGCCTGTGTGTGGCAAGACAGCTGAAACAAGAGCAACTGTTTACTAGTCTATGAAAATCAGTTATGACTGGCCCTGAAATAAAGTCCTTGCTTTTTAGCTCAGTTGTGAAAAGCTGCACCGAGTCCAGCCAAAGGGTCAACTAATCTGGTGTAGTGTCTCCAAACGGAGATGTTTTCAAGCCTGTCCAAAACAATAGCAGATCTCAGTGCTGCCCTACAGCAGTGAGGATTGCTGTCTACAGGGGACATTAGCAGTAAAAACTTCTGTATCCCC